CTCTCTCTCTCTCTCTCTCTCTCTCTCTCTCTCTCTCTCTCTCTCTCTCTCTCTCTCTCTCTCTCTCTCTTTTTCCCCATGTCCACTTTCTAACGCACCCTGATACACTCTCCCAGGTCTCTCCCCCTATTCTGGTCCTTGCCTTTTTCCTCAAGTTATATTGACACAGGCATCGGCAAACTGACATTGTGTTTGTTCTACGTTGTTTGCAAACATGGTGTGTCCATCACTCTGCTTTGATTCTGCACCTATTTCCTTCTGGTTTCTCTCTCATTTCCTCCATCTCTCTCTCTCCTTTCCCTCGGCTTCTTACTCCCCTGCTCACTTGTCCTTGCTGTTCTCCACGGTCTTTTGCTGCTTCCTTTCCTTGTACGCTTCCCTCGCCGTCGTCAACCGGTTTCCCTCGCCTCCCTCGCCTGTCTTCTTTTCCGTCGGTACTTTTCCATTTTATCGGCCCATTATGTACCTGGCTTGTTGTACCCCATTCCTGCCCGCCCTCCTTTCTCCCTCCTTTCTCCCTCCTTTCTCCCTCCAACAAACCCTACATATTATATGATAATGGCCCCCCATAGCTCATACTGCTGCACCCCTCTTGTAATCCCTTGCCCACCTGTTTTTTTTTTTGGGTGATTTTGGTCAAACGAGTTGAAAAGACTCAAAACCATTTCTTGAACAATGATCCAGTTCCTACCTTTGTCAAAAGACTCAAAACCATTTTCAGAGTACCAGTTTGCTTCATTGTGTGACTTTTTTTTTTTTTTTAATAATAAATACGATGTATTCCTCTCATATACCTCCCACTACCTAACCTCTTGTCTGCATGTGACTGCTTTTTTTTTTTGCTGTTTTGCTTCGAGTGCTTTTATCGTGTTGTTTTTCCATGTATCATCCTTCTCCGCACACAGCATTGTATCCGTTCTCTCCAGTGCTCACCCTGCAAGCCATGCCTTCTCCTTCCTGGGTGTGTGGTGATCGTCTATGGTGGGCAGGCGCCCTCCTTCCTCCCTATTCCCTACTGGTCATGTCATGCGCCCCGAACCCTATCTTTCGTTATCAGGAATGCTCCTGGTGGCTATCCCTCTTCTCCTCCTCTACAGACTTCCAGCCTCAGGTGCAGTGCGGACATTACCAGGACAAGCTGGCGGTCAGGACACAGCTGCAAGACACCTTCTTTCTCTTCCCAGCGACACATTTCCGGAGGATGATACGGCGGCAGATGTCGCAGGACTGGACGAACCTTTTCCAGAGCCGGAGGTGGAGACCGCAAACGCAAATCCGTCGTCTGTCTTGGTCTACAACTCGACAACTCTTGTGGGCGAAAATGGCTCCAACTGCCAAGCATCTGAGAAAAAGCCTCCGCCGCCGCCGCCTCCACCAGTCATTCCTTTGCCGAACCCAAGCACTCAGCTGCCGCCTCCGCCTCCTCCGCCAAGTACGGCTTTGCCATACTCAACCCCGTCTTCTCCTGTTCCCGACGTGAACTTACCCCCCGAGAATTCGTTGCAAGCAACTCCTCAGACGCAATTGACGGCGCCTTCTTTCCCGGCGATGCAATTCACTGCACCGCCACCTGCCAAGCCTATTCTGACTGCCCCACCAATTGCAAGCGCGGAATCGGAATCACAGTCCACCTCAGAATCGTCGGCACTTCCTGCCACTTCACCGGATACGAAAGTGAGGTCTATTGAAGTGGATTTTGGAGCCGTTGCAGCCGATGAGCCCCGGTGCTCCAATGTTGGGCGCGATATCTTGAGCGAAGGTGGATCAGCTGTCGATGCGGCGATTGCTACAGCTCTTTGCCTGGGTGTTGTGCATCCTATGTCAAGTGGAATCGGTGGCGGAGGGTTCATGCTTGTATGGCTCGCAAACGGAACTGCGGAGGTTATCGATATGAGAGAACAGGTCGGCCTCCAACGTACCAACAAAAAAACTCTTGTCTTTTCATTTATGATGATCCCAACTACTTACTCCCCATCGTCCTCCCTCTTGCTTTTCAAACGACTATATATATATATATATATGATGAGTCGATGAAACTCCGACGAAACAGTTTGTCACAGCCCCTCGTTTGTTGTCCTCTTCTCTCTCTCTGCCTACGGTTTACCGGCCAGTTCTATATGATGAGTCGATGAAACTCCGACGAAACAGTTTGTCACAGCCCCTCGTTTGTTGTCCTCTTCTCCCTCTCTGCCTACGGTTTACCGTCGGCAGTTCTATTTGACGATATATATATGACGATATATATCGTCAAATAGAACTGCCCGGTAAACCGTAGGCAGAGAGGGAGAAGAGGACAACAAACGAGGGGCTGTGACAAACTGTTTCGTCGGAGTTTCACCGACTCATCAGGAGGCTGAACCCTCAACAGTCTGCAGAATCCCCTCACTGATTACACTGTAAATGATAATCTACCTTAACCAAAATCAAAGTAGACTATCACTCACCCACACCAGATGGATATATATATATATATATCTGTTTGTGACGATATATATGTGGACTCTGTGGAGTCTGTCTCTTATACACATCTAGATGTGTATAAGAGACAGCTGTGGAGTGGTGGAACTCACTGCAAACAGTGCAAACGTGCAAACGTTTTTAAGTGTTTTTTGCTCTGCCTGAGTCTTCTCATTCATCGCGCTCCAGCCTGTCCACAAATGACACTTTGTGTGTTATCTCCCTCTCCGTCCCCGTTGCCTCTTTCACAAACAAATTCGGATTTGACTGAATGTGTCCTTTGATTGCATTCTGGCTTGTCTACAGATGACGCTTTGTGGGCTATTGGCCTCTTCCTCCCCCTTCCCTCTCTTTCCGGCCCGGTCCTCCCTTGCACCGCGCAGAGAGCCGCGGCGGGTCCACTTGTTCTTTTTTTCCAATGAAAACTAGGCTACCAGAGTGGCCCGGGACCACTTGTCCGGCCGGGCCAGAAAAATTAAAAAAGTTAAAAAGTTAAAAAAAATAGTAAAATTATTACTCAATACCTAGGCTACCAGCCGGGCCGCCCGGGTCACCCTATTTTCCCGGGCGGCCCGGCCGTGCAAGGACTAGCGAAGGTCCCAGCCAAAAAAAAATGAAATAAAAGAAATCCACAAAATCCGAAAAAAAACTATGTTATCATTGTTATGCAGAAAAACAAACTGATTAACTTTTGCCTCAGGGTCACATCGAAATTCTTTACCAAAATGAAAATAAAACATAAAGTCATGTGCCGATGAGAGCGAACTGTGAGACAATTGCCTGCGTATGGGCCGAGGTAAGTCCTGAGTGGTGTTGTGTGTGGTGTGAGTAAGGACACTACAGCCATGCAGGGGTGGGGTGGATATCATGGCCGGTATGGTATGGTTCCAATTTTGAACACCATGTCATGGCCATAGGCTCGCTAGCTAGAGAATGATTAATCACACAGGACCTGAGCAGCCACTTCCACCTGGCCTGAAGCTCCCGGGTTTCTTCCCACTAGAAACCCATGCGCATTAGAAACCCATGCCCACTAGAAACCCATTAGAAACCCACGTCCACTAGAAACCCATGCTGGGTTTCTACCCACATGGGTTTCTAGTGGGCATGGGTTTCTAGTGCGCATGCGTTTCTAGTGGGCATGGGTTTCTAGTGGGTGTGGGTTGCTAGAGGGTGTGGGTTTCCAGTGGGCCTGGGCGTGGGCTTAGTGGGTGTGGGTTTCTGGTGGGCGTGGGTTTTCTAGTGGGCGTGGGTTTCTACCCGCATTGCCACAGATTACAGGGTGGCACAACTCACCCCAGCGAGCTACCAGCGTTGACTGGCCTTGGCCATCCTCGTCAGTCAGGCTACTGAGTGATGGCAATGGCTGCATTCTGACAGAGGGATGTGCTCAACTACATTGAAATAAGGATGGACAGAAGCAGAAAAGTATTTTAACTTTTGAAGGTTCCACAGCTTTACCCCTCCCCCCAGAGGACCCCATATACCCCTATGATGAGGCCCTATCACTAAAGCTTGTTAGAAATAGGTTCAATAGACCCCCCTTGTGCCAGGTTCGACTCCATGACTGTGGTGACCTATTCCCTAGCCTAGGTATCACCGAATAGTGCACCCTTTCTCCTGCCTGCTCTTCCAAACCCTTTGCACTCCCGCATCCCCTAGCTCCCCTCTTCCATGGCCACACCCTTGGTCACCCCTGCATTCCACCTCAAACAAGGCAGCAAAAGAATATCCGCTAAGGTTTTACGGTACTTCACCTCTCACCGGAGGACTCTGTTTGTCTCTTTTTTTTTTTCTCGTTAAAATATAGAGTCTATCATAGACCCCTTTGTGTACGGTTGGCCTCCATGACTAGCCTATTTTAGAGACTACACAGTCCTTTAAGGAGGCATAAATACCTGATGCAGGCCCTTGAACCCATTATATGGATCTCCAACCCCACATGTTTTTTTTTTTTTTTTTTTTTTTTTTTTTTTTTTTTTTTGGAAGAAACACCCCTTCCAGTGATAGTGGTGTTGGTAAGGGCAGACACCACTAGCACCTTGGGAGAGGCTCCATCTATTGGTGGGGAGCATCACCTACTGGAAAACGGGTCCAGTGTCCAACCCCACATGTACAGAGAATGTGGGAGATAAGTGAGGTGCAATATAACACATGCTAGACTTGTCAGAGATAACATATAGCCTGTCTCCACAACTCACAGAATGTGAAACATCGCGAGTGTATCTTTTTTATATATTTTATTACAGGATAGACATTACATTTGCCACTGTTGATCTGCGGTGACTACCATCTTCACCCGAATGGAACATCCCTGGTCATTATAGCCGTATCTAGACTGGAAGTTGCCCCAAATACAGCTATGAAGACCGGTCATTCTATTCAGGTGAAGATGGTAGTGGCGCGAGGCGCATAATCTGTTAGCCTTAGCATTTTTATTTATTAATTTATTAATTATTATTATTATTATTTTATTTATAGGTGGAAAGGTACGCATTTTTTTTATTTTTTTATTTTTCTCTTAACTAGGCTCCGATCTATTCGTGGGGAGCTGCACCTGCCGGAAAAGAGGTCCAGCATCCCTTATATCAATACATGTTCGACTGAATCATAACCTGTCTCTGCTGGAGATGGGGACCAGCGCCCCTCATAGCAATTCCTATTCTATCAAGACTGCAGTCAGACTGTTCATATGGTCTGCTCCGTTGTGGACTGTACAGGCCTCTTCACCTATTCCGGCGCCATATACTGAGTATTTAGCAAGCCTGTATGAAGTCCCTTGACCAAGTTGCATAATGACATGGGAACCCTGAGTACAACTCTACCCAGGGCCTAAGATACCGTCTAGAATGTCCACTTTCCGATAGTTCATGGAGGTCAGAATTCCTCACTCCAAGAATGAGGCTGTCTTTCCCTGTGTTTCGGGCATGAAACCTAGGCTGCTAATCTCCCATGTTTCTATGTTCCCATTCCCCCGAATACACTCACGGCGGCCTTGGTCCCAATAGCCACTGCTCTAGCACTATGCCCGTACTTGTAGTTTTTAAGAATCTTATCTTCTGGCCCCATGATCGAAAGAACCGGTCCCTGGCCGCTCTCCTGTTAGACGCCCTTTTGGTCCGTCTCCAGTCTGCCCAGACAAGGGACCGAACTCCTCCTAGCACCAGGTTTTTGATAGCRACATCCSAGTAGAATTTTGACCTGAAAATTCTGTCATTTCTAAGTTTCCAGATGACCTGCATAATTGCTGCCCTGCATGCCATGGCTACATACACCCAACCCTGCCCCACTATTTTTGCATTATGCAGCACGCCATCGACCACAAMCCCCTCATCCCACTGCACYAGGTCCTCAACTCTATCCCGCCACAAACTGGCCCACCAATCCCAAATCSTTCTGGACTCAATACATCCCCACCACAGGTGAGTAGCTGATTCCTCCGCTCGTCTGCACCTGCGGCATTCGGTGTCGACCGACATTCTATTGACTGCGAGCCAGCTTGCCGTGGGCACTATTCGATGAGATTGCATCCACGCCAAGCTCCCCATCTTTGCAGATGGGATGCGTTTGAGATTTTGCCAGAGCTTTCGTAGGGTGACAGAAGAGATGCTCCCCTTTCTCTGCACCCCATTCTTGGCTTCCATCTCCCACCTGTTCTTCCCCTAACGGTAGTGACCAGGACTTGTTCTGAGTCTGGTAACCCACCGAGGGGGTATACTCCAACAGATCAAAGGATCTAGCTGGTTCCAACAAATGCCAACCCCACAGCGTGGGAATGACCTTCAATTGACCAACAGGCGTACTCCCCATAGGACAGAAGAGTTCCTCGGCGCCACTCTTTGTCTTCTTAGAGCAGACCACTACCGACGCAACTCGTTGTAGCGGCACCACCTTTACCTCCGCCACCTGCAAGATGTGTCCCTGCTTGGCCTTCTTCTCCAAGATGTTGTAAGGACTGACCACGGCGTGTTCTTGATCTAATATGGTCAAAACCTTCCAGACTTCTGACGGGGCAGCCGGGCCACCTTGCACCACCCAGTTTCCCTCGTAAGCTGCGAGTGGATCCGCTAGGATCTCTTTCCAGGTTGCTGGAATGCTGCTCAGTATGCTTTGCAGTCTTTCTTGAACTGCCCTCAAATGATGCAGATGCGTTTTCAGTTCTGCTGCAGATCTCCATTGTACCAGGTCCTGGTTCCACAGGTCCGCAATCCTCGAAATCCCCCTTTGGATCCAGCTTTTGCCGAACTGTCCTGTGCCATCACTGGCTGACCAGGGGATCCCACTGTCATCGCAGATAAGTGTGTTCTCAAAGATTTGTTGTGCGAGTATCTCATCCTTGGTCTGGGGTTCCCTGAGACGTACCGGCATAATGTGTGACCATGCTCAAAGTATATCCCGCCAGACGGGGGAGCTCATAGGCCCTTTCACCAAGGAAGGTGTGAGGA